TTTTTTTTTTTTTTTTTGCTATCTTTCTTTATTGTTACATTTGCAGGCTATGCCAGCCTAGTGAACAGGAAGGTCTATTGTTAATAGTAGACTATCAAAGGAGATGTGGGGAAAGTTCTAATTACAGAAAAATACACGTTCTGCAACAATGATGCAATGTGATGCCATTCAGAATTAAACAAGAGGGAAAAATTACTTGCAAATTTGAAGGAGCCAAAAAAGAAACTCCCGTTGCGAAAGTTCATAAAATCATGAACTCCAGACAAGACAGTTAAGGACAGAATGCAGGCGGAATCAGGACAGAACCATGGGTGGATCAAAGTATTAATATGGGTCTATTTGATACAATTTAAAGAGCACAGTGGTTGCTTTCTTCAAATCTACCTGGTTCAACTGAGACTGCCCACGAGACTGGGAACAGTAACACAAAGGGCATATGACACAAATTTATACAATAATATCCTGAGACAACTCTTGGATTTTTGGGCAGTATAGTTGCACCCTAATATAGCGAATACACTAGAAAACAAAACAAATGGGTTAAGATGGGTTTCAAAGGGGCCATTCCTTCAGGTTTGAGAATAGGTTGCTATTGAGATGCTCTGCTAGTGCCAGCCTCCTAATTTCAAACATAAATCTGGAGATAACTAACCTAATTATTCCAGGACCCATTTTCTCCAGAGAAATTTATCCTTACAGGCCTATGTACGTTCATCTCACCTCTCCTGCTAAGTGCTAACATGTATGCTGGCAAGAAGATACTCAGGAGTCAAGTCAAAGTCATGTTTTAAATCTGCTTACAATAAAGATATTTTCCCCGGTTATTTTAAGAGTCTAAGATATTTTAAACCTTTATCCCATAACGGGCTGATTGGGACTGTAAGCTGCACTCACTGGACAGGCATACAAAACAATTTTTGTGTGTGACAAATAGCTCTGTGAATCCTGACCAAATAGATAGCAACACTTCCTTGAACATAGTGGTAATAAAATTCACTACATTCGTGCCCCGCTTTACAATTGCCCTGTATTACGATGAAACCGCATTACGACAACGTTTTGCAATCGCAAAACAATGGTCTGAATAGGCTTTTTTCGTTTTGCGATGATCTGTTCCCTGCTTCGGGAACGGATTCTTTGCAAAATGATGATTTTCCTACAGCTGATTGGCTGTGTCAAAATGGCCGCCAGGTAAATAAAATGGCTCCCCGCTATTTTCTGGGATGGATTCCTTGCAAGACAGCCACCGAAAATGGCCGCCCTATGGAGGATCTTCACTGAACAGTGAGTTTTTAGCCCATTGGAACGCATTAAACGGGTTTTAATGCGTTTCAATTGGTTTTTTATTTTCGCATTACAATGTTTTCATTCTACAGTGATTTCGCTGGAACGAATTAACGTTGTAATGCAAGGCACCACTGTATACATTTTATATGTGAAGTCAGCCTTTGTTTACACCTTGAAAGCAGTCAGCTGCTGTGTCAAAACCGGTATATTTCAGACGTAGATCAAGGCCAACAAAGTCACAGCCAGGTTTAAGTTACTACAGGTATTTCATATCACCTTTCAATCATATCCTTGGAATGGTTTAAAAAAGTATACCGCCTATTTAGCCCCAAAGACTGTCTCTCATCATATACTTTACTTTTCATATGTTACTAGTCACACACTTTTGCTGTAATGCTCAGGCATATGGAGGTGTGGGAAGTTAATGCCTCTTCAAGATGCAAGATTCAGTAATTAACAGAAGGCATATAGTCCTCCACAACAGATTAGATCACTTTGGAAGGTTATGGGACTCTCCACCACTGGATGTTTTAACCCTAAGTTAGATGGCTATCTGCCAGGGATGATTTAGTTGTACCTCAGCAGGGAACTGGACTAGAAGACTTCTATCTCTACACTGTGATGCTACAAAAACAATCCCATTACCTTCAAGTCTTCTTCTGCTGAAGGACACCTGAGAGAACTGAACATCCGGCAGCACATTTCTTTCTCCTTCATCATGTAATCTCCGTAGCAGCTGCAAGAGACCAAACTGTGTAAGGCTGCAGCTTAGATTAGGCATCCTTCAGTCTCGAGAGACTATAGTAACGTGCTCTGTATGGAGGACTTGGAACAGCATCTAGTGTGGCTGAGGAGGCCAATTCGAGAGTGACAGTCCCTTCCACACTGAAGACAAATACAATCTGTCCCCTGTCCAGCTCCCTGCTGCTAGCTATTTTAAAAAAATACAAGATTGGGAATGGCAGCAAGGTCTGTACACATCTTGCCCCTTTCTGCCCTTATTTTAGAGCTAAAACCCCAAACCTCTTTCACTGAAACATTTACCTAGCACGGGGGGGGGGGGGGAGGGATGGGGGGGGGGGGAGAATCAAACGCAGACATAGGCTAAACCACAGGACAAGGTAAGGGTATGATCAGACAGGTGTTTAGCCTATTGTTTGGATGGCTGCGGGGATGGGTTGGTTCACTCCTTTTGGCAGTAACTGTATGATGTAATCATTGCAGCAAAGCAAATCATAGCAGAACATTCCTACCTGCACCTTTCCTATCTGGCCCGTCAGGGGCATTTACTTTTCCAGTGTTGGTGGAATTGCTCTGGTTTGGTCTGTTTCCAGTGTGTGTAATCACTGGAAACAGAACAGAAGCCTCTTCTAATTTGCCAGTACTGTGGAATGGCTTAATAAGAGTTGCTTTATGATATTTGCAAATTAATTACACACAGAGAGAGACAGATCAGGAAGTCCGTGAAATTGAAGGATAGCATTGTTACAGCTTGTCAAGGCAGTTCTGTCACAGTGTCATCTGCAGTCTAACAAACAGAACGGCAAACAAGCAGCAAACAAGACTTTTCTCCTATTTCCCTGTATGGCTTAAATCAAATAGACCCCAATTGCCCAGTGTTACCTTACAGTGTATGAATGTGAGTGAATTTAGATTTCCCTAACTGTGTAGTTGCAGCTTGATAGATAAGTTAATCACAAAAAGAATACACAGAGTTAATCAGCTACAAGGAAGAAGTGTGGATTGTACACTACAAATAAGTGAAGAAAAGATTTATTTCACTGCAAAAATTATCTTAATAGATGTACAGAAACAGCTCCCTCACCTGGCCAGCTTTTTCAACTCATTGTTAATATCATGGTTGAAAGGCTGTGCTTTCTGAGCTTTGACCAGAAAATCTCGAGCTCTCTCATATTCTGCTAGAGAGAGGCATGCCTAGAAGTTAAAAGAATAAGAGTTCAGAATACAGCTAAAATTAGAAATGTGGTTTATTCACTTCTCTTGAAAAGTAGGAATAAAGATAAGAGTTTCTTGTTCCTGAATAATTGAGAGGCACAACTGCACAGAATTCTGCTTTTTTTATGAGCAGCATGCATAACACCTTGGCTCATCATGCCCAGAAGCAGTTAAGCCAGAAACTACCAAGAAAGCAAAAACTCAGTATTGTATCTAAACAAGACTGCCTGGATTGTAGCTCTCAAAGTGGAAATCAACAACACACCCTCCAGCCATTCTATGATCTCTTTCATTTGCTAAACTGGCATGGGCTTCTGCAAATCAGAAACCTGAAATATCTGGAGGGACAAATGTTCTCCAGCACACGGCTTCTTTTTATTTTAAAAAGGCAACATAGGATGTGGGGTGGAGAACTGACAAGGCCCCTTTTCAGAAGTAATGTAATGAGGGGGAATAAACTCAGTTACTGTTGCAACAAGTAACATTTTCTATTTACTTTCAGAATCACATGCATTCTGCCAGGAATCTTCCAAGTTGTTTTGTAATTTCGCTGTCTAGGGAGGCGGGGTATAAATCGAATGAATAAATAAAATAAATAAATACATTTCCTACAAAACCTAAGGCTTAAAAAAAGAGACCCATGCAAAGTAATGAGAAATGCCATGTTTACTTTCCAAACATGTAGTGAGAAATGACAATGAATTACTTTTCAAACCCTACATGTACAGAAACAAATCCAGTTTTTTTAAAAAAAAACATTTACTGTTTCTATTATTATTGTTTTGTAATTTGATGTCCTGGTTGCTGAATACCACTCAGGGAGAGTTTGTTCGCTATGGGCAAGTGTATAAATGAAATAACTAAATAAAGATAACTTTCTAAACTAAGTATACCCAGTGGGTCTTGTAATCGCCACAAGTCTGCTGCAAACTGAAGAAGGGATCAGTTGAAAAATGGGTCATATACACCTGAGCACTGTATTATTAAACCTGTGGACCTTATGCAAGGTTTCTAACATCCAAGCAATTCCCTGAAATTTCCTAGCCAGAAGCAACTAGATCCATCCATTCTCTGACATCTGTTTTACTCCCATTCAATCCTTCGCTGAACATGACAAATTGGGGGGAAAAATCCCATAGAGTTCCCCACCTGGCCACACCTGAAGAGTGCTTTGGCATTCTTCTCATCAATCTCTAAGGCTTTCTCCCCATAGGCAAGTGCTCGGGCTGGGCATTCCAGCTTTAAATAAGTAAAGGATAAGTTCAGAAAGATCAGAAGCTTGGCAGCATCTACTTTCACTTGTTCATCTTCTTTGGCATTCAAATGGTTTAAGACTGAAGAAGCCTGCATATGGACGAAAACAAAGCATTTCTATTTACAGCCTCACACACACACACAAAGCAGTATTTAAAATACAGAATAGGCAGAAATGTTTTATTGGACGAACTTGTACTGATGATTGTATACAATGGTTAGTATGGACAACTAAGGCTCATGTGAATACTATTTAGAAAAATGCACAATTTAGGCATAAGAGAAAAACAGCATATTTAGTATATTTCCTTTTTAAAGAATTAAAGACAGATTCACACACCACCTTAGCTGTCCATTTATCTCAGCTGTGTGTTTTGGATACCTATTGAAGGGAAGCACAACTGTGCTCCTTTTCTTTGGCCCTGCTTCCAAGGTATGTGTAAAAAACTTATTAGCCCCAAGGAACCAGAGCCTGTAAAAGACTAGATACCCAAAGTCTCCAAATCTCCTGGCTATTGTTCTCCACACTGCTCACCCTAGCTTACTAGGAGGGAAGCATCCCTGGAGTTAGCGATCTTAATAAATCACTTCCCTTACTACCAAGCTCCAGCCCTGTAGGATGGGACATTCAACTCCTTAACACCATAGCCACAGCAGGACAAATAACACCGACTAACTATAGTGGACCCTTGACGTATGCATGGCTCGACGTGCGTATTTTTCGAGGTCCAGACTTCTTTGGCCGCAAGATTTCCAATCGACTT